GGGTGTCTGTGACCTCGAAATTGTGACTGTGACTCACTGAAATAGAGTTTTGACTCGTAAAGTTTTTGATTTTTTCAATCCGTGACCTATAAAATTTTTTTGTCATTATGTGACTTATGACCATGTATTGTTTGTGTATTGGAATTGGGGGACGGGTGCGGTGGATTGGTCAAAGTGTTTGTGACCATCTATTTGGTCGATCTATGACCTGTGACAAAGTATTGGTGATGTATTGGGAGGGGGAATGGTGTTTGGGTGACTGTGACCCATCTATATGGTAACTATGACCTTAAAATTCGTTACTTTGTGACCTTAAAATATAACATGTAACCTATAATTTTTTTATCAGTTTTGATCTGTGACTTCGAAATAATCCGTGACCAAATTGCATATTACTGTGACCTTAATAAGATCTCTGTGACCTCGGAATCAGAACAGTTTTCTGGATTAAGTTAACTGTGACCTCGAAATCGAAGCATTCATCGGAATAGTCGCCGGAATTAAGTGCGGTCGAAAAGTAGTTGTCGACCACCGGAGTAGTCTCCGGAATAGTGGGGTGGTGGAGGTGAGGTGAGGTGAGGTGAGGTGGGGTGGGGTGGGGTGGGGTGGGTTAATCATATTATATTATAATTAAATATTTAATTTAATAGATTACTTGTAATATATAATTAATAAATTAATGAAAAAACCTGAGTTTTGTAATTTAAAACTTTGGGACCTGATTTTTAATTTCCTGAAAGTAAACCTCTAAATCATAAACTTTTCCCCTAAATAAACACTAAACAAAAACTGGACCAGCTCTATCCAGTACAAAATTGAAGGCCAACAGAGATCATCATCAGTTTGCTGACGGTGGCCCAGTAAGCGTGGGCTCTCTTTGTAGTATCTGGAGAAATGGGCCCATATCAGAGGCCTGCTCTACAATAAGAACTTTTGTCACATTTAACAAAAATGATTTGTGGGACATTTTTATACCTTATCCAATTTGTCATCGGTATATATGGTGAATTTAATTCTCAGGCCAACCTATATAGATAAATACTAGGTGGCATTCAAAATTAAAATAAAAATTAGAAGAAATTTTTCTTCAATATTTACACTAAAATTTAAGGAAAAAAGAAGTTAAAGACAAATTTTTTAGCCCTAACGACGTTGATACCACTTGAGACTCGTATACTTATGAACTAACGTAGATCGAAAAATCGAACACATTTCACATCTTTATTGTGTCTAGTTTAATAAATAAGCATTCATGAGATGTATTTCAAATGAGATTAGTTTGACTTTTTAGGTGTAAGTTTTCTATATTTAGTTTGAGATTAGTTTTTTTTTTTCATCATTTTCCTTTTATTATATATAATATCTGTTAGATTAAGACATTGACATCTTCAAAGTGACATTGTGTGGCTAAGAAATGTCGAGAAATTAATATTGGACCCATTTAAATTGGAGACATCTCAATTTCATTTGATTTCAAATTCAAACAATGTCATTATAACAATGAAGGTACATAATTGCTCAAACCTAAATTTGTGGGTTTAACACCCAACTAGTAGGCATGACAAAATGGCTTGTCCTAGCTCTTTTGAGGAATTGGGATAGAGACAAGTAAACGGTCCCCGCTTCCAATTCGCACCCCACTCCTATTTAAATATAAATGAGTAAACATGACGAAAAAATAAGAATATTTTAATCTTCACCTGCGCCACCTCACCTACCTCTTGGAAATACTCTGCGGGGCGAAGTGTAGGGAGGGCTGCCCCATACCATTGCCATCCTTACAGACATGATGATGAGTTCAATATTGTTTTTTCCTTTTTAGTTCTTTGTTGATAACATACAAAAGCTCAAAGAAGCTTGCACAAAGCATGTGACTTATTTTTACACTTTCACTCGACACCCTCCCTCCCTACTACCTAATATTCCCGAGCAGAAGGGATAAAAGGAAAATACATTTTTTTTATTGCTAACTAATAAACAATATATGAAGATGTCCTATTGAAATCAAGACAATATTACTTTAAAGAGTGACCTAACACCTCCATATGCTATTATTGCACCTTAATGAATTTTAAGGGTATTTGGAGCTTCAAATATGTCCATGATGAGGCATAACTTAGAATGCAAGCAAATTATAAAGTTGGATGTCAATTGAAAATGTTTACAAACAGTCTATAGGAACATATTGATTTTTTTAAGTGACATCAAATCAAATCTTGAAAAAAGTAATGACGGAATATTATTACTGTCCAGTTGAAAAATTAATTTTGTCCGTCGATAAAACTAAAACCTAGCTTTTCTTATGTTAAAATGTCTTTTACAATCAACAACTAACAATTTCATTGCTCCATGATGGTATTTGGATCCCTCGAATCAATGAAAATAGAAAATTTATTAATTATACGAAGAAAAATAAAATTTCTCAAGAATAAATCGGAAAAATTTAACGGGTTAATTTAATGCGAAATAACGTGAATATGGTTGTAAATTTTTTTTTTTTTATTATACTATACAAATTATATTATGCCCTTGTTTGGTAAAAATTAAAATTCAGATTTTAATTTAAGTCAAAGTCAACAACTAATTTTAACCACACATTTTATGGGATCCATAACTTTTCAACCACACATTTCATCAACTTTTATCAAAATATACTAAAAATCTGATTTTAATCTCTACCAAACATGAGCTAAATACTACATATCAAATATTCGTATCCAAACAAATGCATCNTAAAAGGGAGAATGTTGTTGAAGGGAATCGAACCCAAGTCTCCCACACAAAAAGGCATCTTCCCTCACAGTTGATCTACACAGCAAGTCAATAAAAATTATACAATTACTTATATATATATATACAGAAATGATCTAATGAGCACCGGTGCTCATCTTATCCTAAGCACCAATGAGTTGGCATATTAATTCATTGGTGAATTGAACTCACAAAATCTTTATCCACCAATGAATTAATGTGCCAACTCATCGGTGTTTAGGATAAGATGAGCACCGGTGCTCATTAGATCATTTCTGTATATATATATATGCCTTTTGAAAGATATTTGCTTTGTATTTGAAGATCTAAATTCGACACGTGAAGATGTTTTAAAATGATTTTAGTCGGCGCTACCCAATTATAGAAAGAAAATTTACAAAATATATCATGTATTTAAGGTGTATTTACAATTTGCATATTTTATAATTGACAATTTACATATTGTATTTTACTTATTGATAACATAAAACATATTTTCCAGAAAAATAAAAATATTTATAAATGTGTTATTATAAATATTTACACAGGCCAAGATACCTCTAATTAAAAATAATAAATGACACCTTATATTTTATACTACTTAATACTTTGCATACCATTTGTTAAACAATGGTTTATTTAAATCCTCAACTTAAAATAAATAAGAAAATAATTTTCAACTGCAAAATAATAAATAATATATATTATTTTACTTGATTTTTCTGAAAAAAATTAATCATTGAACATGATTAATTTATTAAATGATGAAAACAAATAATTTTCACCTGTCCATTTAAAGATGTAGAATTTTTTTTTGCTCTATTCTTTTGAACACATTATTTTATTAAATCTATCTTCTATTTTTTTCAAGTTGTAGTTAAAAAAAATGAAAAGGGACAACTGCAGTAGCGGTATAAAACATTTCATTTAGCAGCAGATTTTGCCCAAATCTTTCATTTGTGCCACCAACGGTACCAAATCTTAGAAAATGTCCACAACTGAAGTCCAAAAATTATCTGTTCCAAGAAGACTATCGTTAATTTTTTGAATGAGTTAATTCGATATTATGAGCTATATATTTGTTTAGCGTAGATACAACATTCAATAAAGTCCTTTTTCTTTTCTAAATCTTGGTTAGTTTAGGTGTTAACAGCTCACCACAAGTCAAGACTATTCTTGAACACACATCCTTTCATTCTTGTAGAAGCTATGGACCTTTTTTACCACCATTTTTTTTATTTTTTCCCCAAAAAACATCAATCTTTGTTCCTTGCAAATATACAAAAATAATTATGATTAGAAAAAAAAAAGTTTTATGGCTCAATGCCTCCTTGCACTAGTTGCATGATGTTTCTTAACATTTTAATATAGTTGTATAGTCAATTTTTAAAGATGAAAAGTCTAGCAGTCTAATACTGTGTTACATCGCACATATCTCTCACATGTCTAATTTTATAAATGGTAATACTGTTGGAGCTTTGACGTGACATTATTGTCCTAACTATGTTGTCCTTCATAAAGTTTTTCTTTTTAAGAAAATTAAAATTATTAGTAGAAGTGCATCATATATAGAAATGACAAAATACAAATATTTGAAGAAGGAATTAGCCTAAGATCCTGATAAAGCGAGAAAAAGTAGACATTACTCCTCTTAAAGATAGAGAGTACAAAGCAACTAAAAAATAAAGAAAAGTTATATTTGCGTGATTTCATTTCATTTCAATTTTTTATATATCACGTAATATACTGTAATACTTTCATCTGAATCGAAGAGAGAACATCTACAATGATTATATTCAACTCAAATCCTCTAACCCAACTATCTACCATAAAGTTTTGACAATTTTGGATCCTCCTCTAGGACTCTTATAGTGCAACTGGATGTGGACTCATCAATCACTCATACACTACATAGGATTCAAAATTTCACAAAAGAAAAAAAAAAGAAAGAAAGAAAGAAAGAAAGAAAATCAAATCAAATCAAATTCATTAAATTATGTAGATTCATTAATGACACAATAAATAGGCAGAGCTGCAAAAAGACGATGGAACCTTACAAGAGTAAACTACGTCACTCCCGTTACCTACAGGGAACGCCCATCTTTATTACTTTGTCCATTTCTTCCAACCCTTTACCATTTTCAATTTCTTGCATAAAAAATCCTCAGTTTTCTTGAAAAATTTCGTGTTGCAGAGGGCTTAATTTTTTATGTTTCAATGTTTTTAAGGTCTATGTGACACAAAATACAATGAAACCATTAAATACCAATGTTAATAGCCATAAATTTTCATCCATTATTGTAAAATTTGCAGTTTGTTTTCTTCTCTTGGGCCTTACCTATCGTTTGTTTTCCTCAAGTGTCGTACAGTTTTCTCCTGTTGTGATTCCTACTGATTTAGCTTTCGATGAGGATAAGGAGGCATTGCCACCCCACACACCAATTTCATCCAGTGACCTTTCGGTGAACCATACATCAAAAACTGGTAACTGGAAGTGTGAATTTTGATTTTTCTCTATTAAATTCAATTGTTTTATGTGTAGTGTTCTTTTTTGATGCAGGCTGCTATGAATAATTCTCAGGATTTTTAGATTTGATTCTGTCTTGAGAAATTTCTCAATTTATGAGTACAAATTTAATGTTTATGCATTCAATTAAAGGAACAAAACTGTTTAATCTTGTTCAGTGATTAGCTTAAAGGGGCCAAATTTTTGTTCTTGAATTCCTTTGTACATTTTATTGTGCCTTTGATGTTGTGATGGAGCCATTTGTAGTGGCACTAAAATCTGTCATTTTTACTGTGTTGGTTCAAGATTTATACAGGTTTGCTTTGCGTTTTGTGTTGCAGAAAAATGCAATGTATTTGTGGGAAATTGGGTTGAGGATCTCACTGGTCCATTTTACACAAACGCTACTTGCTCTTCGATTGAAGATCATCAAAATTGTATGAGAAATGGACGGCCGGATACAGATTATGTTTATTGGAGGTGGAAGCCGAGAGACTGTAATTTACCCAGATTTGATGCAAAGAGGTTCTTGAATATGATGAGAGGCAAATCTGTAGCGTTTATTGGCGATTCCATTATGCGTAATCACGTGCAATCGTTGCTCTGTATGCTCTCGCAGGTACAGATTCAGTGCATATTTCATGATCAAATCCTACTTGGTTCTGCTGATAAACTGCTTACCATTATGCAATGTGTCGACTATTTGATAATAACGTCTTAACTACTCAAAGTTGGAGGAAGTTGATCAATAATTATTATCAAATTAAGCTGTCCTTTAGCTTATTGGCTTCATTTGAATAACAGGAGGTGGTCCGAGGGACCTGTATGTCTGTTTTTACTTTAAGTGGGGATAATAAAACTATTATGATTAATAAAACAACAATAACAGAGTCTTGCTCCTGAATGAGTTTGGGATCGGGAACGTGACCCTTTTCCATTGCTTGTTCCGTAACATTATTAAGGTCTTCTCTGGATGTGAAGGAGGTTTCTTTTGATGTTAGCACTTTGTACTGGTGTTTTGCGCATCACCATTCTATTTCTTTTAATTCCTCTGTTGTGATTTTTGAAGTAATATAATACTCTTCTAAGTGGTTTATTGGTCATTGTCAAAAGTATGGTTCTTAGTGCGACCTTTGACCAAACAATCAAATCCTAGTGGCTAGTAGTTATTTCCATGAAGACTCCTTCTGTAGTTTCCTTCCCTTTCATGTAACAATAAACAAACCAAGCCTGGTTTTTGATTCGGCTGCTTGAATCTTTTCTGCCTCTCCACTTTGTTCGTTTCGAAATCTACTAGAAGCTCCAAAGAAACTACAACTATCTATATTATTTGCCATCATAATGATTTGTGAGATATGATTGGATCAAAATATCTTCAAGTGGATAAAAGGAAAAAAAATTCCCCACTCTTTTTTTGACACTTCATATGTATGTAAACCATTATGTAACTTCATTATGTACAAATAGCATTGTTCATTATTTTTGGCCCACCCTTCCTTCTAACCCTTTCAACAAATATTGTGTTACTTCGATGAATAAGAGACTCTTTAGTTCTACACAAAACATGTCTTTACCAGCTTTGTAGTTTATTCCAATTTCTGCCCCTTTCGTAAAGCTCAGAAGAGTTCATTTCACTTTTTAACTGTTGAGGTGATTGGTAGTCAATGAATGGCCTATGTTTTTGCACCATTTTGGTAGAGCAGGTTAGGAGAGGGAAGGGTAGACCAAAATTACAATTGCCTGTAGTTGTTAAGGATGTACTTCTTTGAGATCTTCGAGTAGATCTAGCAATGAAAAGACAACTGTTGTTTTTATGTGTCCTAAATATATAATTATCATCTTGCAGGTGGAACAAGCTGTGGGGGTATACCATGACGAGCAGTACAAAAGCCGAAGATGGGTTTTCCCTTCTCACCGCTTGACTCTCTCAGTTGTTTGGTCCCCGTTGCTCACAAAAGCAAGTGTATTTGAAGATATCAATGGAGTTTCATCGGGCATAATCCAGCTCCATCTCGACGAGCTAGATTCGACATGGACAGATCAATACGAAAACTTTGATTATGTAGTAGTTGCAGGGGGGGAGTGGTTTCTCAAATCTGCAATTTACTACGAGAACAGCACGATTGTGGGATGCCATAATTGCCAAGGGATGAACATAACAGAAGTAGGATTTTATTATGCCTATCGCAAAGCACTGAACTCGACGCTGAAATTCATCACGAGCTCAAAGCACAAGGCTTATACGTTCTTTAGAACGACTACTCCAGATCACTTCGAAAATGGGGAATGGAACACGGGTGGATATTGTAACAGGACGAGACCGTTTCAAGAAGGTGAGATCGACGTCAATGATATAGATGGGGCAATGCGAAACATCGAACTTGAAGAATTCGAGAGAGCAGCAGCTATAGGAAAGGAAAAAGGTTTAACTTTGAAACTATTTGATACGACCTTAGTTTCTCTATTACGACCTGATGGTCATCCGGGAGTCTACAGGCAATTCCATCCATATTCCGGAAAGGATAAACATTTGAAGCTGCAAAATGATTGTCTACATTGGTGTTTGCCTGGACCTATAGACTCTTGGAATGGTTTGATGATGGAAATGCTTGTGAATGGTTGAAAATTATACTGTTTTTCCATATGGAAATGGCATCTGTTCAGAAACATTTTTGTAGAATCTTTTGTTGTGATGCCATCCTTGTATCAGTTGTATGGAGTTTAAGGAATTGAAATTTGTAAGAAAGAAGCTGTTTGTAATATTTGTTTATTCAATGCTCTTGGTAAATACAGATTCGGTCCTAGGTATTGAAGCGATTCTTTAAATTTTGCTACTCAAGACAATATTTGTTTTGAAGACAAAAAACATTCAGTGCTGGCTGTGAAAGAATGCATGGTGCAAAAATGTTTTCATTACTCGACTCGACTCATCCACTCAATTCGCTTTACAAGTTTATGTAAAGGTTGACAATACCATCTAAATTAGTGGTAAGCAGTGATACAAGATGACGTTACTCTTTGAAAAGTTCCAAATTATAGAACATTTATAAAATTGATAATTGTCAAGAATATTTTGTCATGTCTACATATTAGTCAACAACTATGTTAAACTTGTCAACACATTGTGATGTTATTTGTGCTAGACAAAACTCTTGAATCGAATCCAAAATGAACTGAACCGAGCTGTTCATCATAAGTTATATACCAAAACGGGTATCTGAATCGAGAATCGACGGGTTTGGTTCAGTTCTTGGTTCTAGACTTAGAACCGAAGAATCATATTTAAATTATTTTTTTAATTTTTATATTGAATTAATTAATTTTTTTAAATTTTTTTCTAAACAAAATAACTAATTTGGTGATTAATGTTATAACTCTCAAGCTAAATCCATGCCTAGCTAGCCCAACTCAACTCAATTCAATTTCTAAATTCAATTTTTTGGTCCTATTTTTAATTTCATTCTTAACCCAAGATTTATGCATTTTTAAGTTTTTATCATTCTCTTTCCAATTTTACACTTTCATAGCCAAATTCATGTCTAGCCAGCCCAACCCAGCTCAATCCGACCCAATTTCTAAATTCAATTTTTTGATTTAATTTTGTGGTCATATTATTAATTTCATTCTTAACCCAAGATTTATGCATTTTTAAGTTTTTATCATTCTCTTTCCAATTTTACACTTTCATTCGGTAACCACGAAGTTAATGATCCCAAATCATTTAATAAATTGAAAACCTACATCTACATGCCCAAATCGAAATCGCTGATTGCCGAATTCGACTTTCCCTCTCAATGCCCATCGAAGTCGCGACCTCCAACCACAACCACCGATCATTGACCATTAAAAATCTGTTTAAAAATTTAATTATGGTACGGAAACGAATCGAACCATGTCCAACCCTAAATGTTAATGCTTTGATGAGCATATTTTGGGTATGGTTCATATTCTATAAATCTTGAAATTTACTAAAAAGTTTATTTGAAGGATTTTTCGAAGTGAAATATGATTATTAATTTTTTCGGAGAATGTGAGGTTCTTTCGAACCACGGTTCTTTTTTTTCTCTAAATTTCTCGATTTTTGACAATGAAACTTTAACCATAACAAGCTGATACAAACACGGAGTGAAAACTTTTATTTATCATACAAAACATGATCAATTGCAACTTATTTGAAAGACAATTCATTAACTTATATATCATTTTGGGCGGACAATTTTCTGTTTGCATTTAATTTTTTTTATTACTATTACCTTATTTGTTACTTTATTTAACGATGGAATTCTGTCATTGAATTAAATCAAGACATTTTCTCTTTTCTTTAATTATCATCAATGAAAAATTTTATTTATTATTCTTAAACAATTATTTTATTTTTATTTTGTTAACTATGGACTTTTAAACTAAAACATATATAAGCAGGGGCGGACCTACTTGAGGACCCCCCACTCAATTTTCAGATTTTCCGATTTTTCTTTAGGTTTTCAGATTTTTTTTTTTTTTTGTTCAGGTTTTTTAGGTTTCTGGATTTTTTTCTCAAGATTTTTTGGTTTCGTCTCCACTGAACTTCCTTCCTGAGCCGGCCCCTGTATATAAGTGTGGTATATTATGGGCCTGCTTGAGCCTGATTAAAATTTAATTTTAATCTAAGTCAAAATCAAATAATTAATATTAACCACATCTTTCATGGGTCTCACATCTTTTCAACCACACATTTTAAAAACTTCTATCACAATTCATTAAAAATCTAATTTTAATCTCCACCAAATACCGTCTATATCCTTCAGCTACCGTCCGTATTTATCTATTAAATTTTGTGTAGCTATTAAATGCTTTTGTTTTTTGTGAGCTAAAAGTTGGTTCTTTCAAACGAGTCGTAAGTAATGAAGCGTCATCGTTTCGATTAATGAAAACGAATAGGTAATTAGGCTATCAAGTAGAGTAATATGAGCAGCACATCTATATATTGGTTAGTCTAGTGCCATTTTCAATCTCTTTTCTTCTTTTTACATTTTTACCTGTCAACAATATTTTTTTCTAACTGGTCAATCAATTAGGACGGTCACTAAGGGTTAGATTACATGGATAGAAATTGGGAGTAAGTTGATAGATCGTATGAAGGACTTTCAACGGGTATACGTAATATATATAAAGATATTTTGACTTGTCTATACATCATGAATCTTGTAAAACCTTCATAATTCAATGCATGTAAAGCTATACGGTGGACCTCAACATGAATTTAAGTCATTTTATCGAACCACTATTGTTGTCAATTTTATATCCTACAAATGTACGAATCGTAACAAATAATAACACTACTACAAAATAGTCATTAGCAACATTTAAAAGGTAACATTTGTTGATAAATGTTCCCAAAATGGTCTTTTGGCAATATTTTAGTAAGTGAATGTTGCCATTGGTTAATATAAATGAGTTTTAGCAACGTTTTTTAAAAAAAATGTTGCAGTAGACAAGTTTTCGCAACGTTTATTGAGCATTGCGAAAGGTTCATTTTAGTAAGTGAATGTTGTCGTTGGTTAATATAAATGAGTTTTAGCAATGTTTTTTAAAAAAATGTTGCAGTAGACCACTTTTCGCAACGTTTTTTGAGTGTTGAGGAAGCTGTTACCTTTAGCAACGTTTTGTAAACGTTGCGGAAGGTATTACATTTCGCAACGTTTGTAAAATGTTGCTGTAGGTTACCTTTCGCAACGTTTACAAAACGTTTCGCAACGTTTTACAAACGTTGCTGTAGGTTACCTTTCGCAACGTTTTGTAAACGTTGCCGTAGGCGTGACCTTTGGCAACGTTTTATAAACGTTGCCGTAGGTAAAACGTTGCCAAAGGTCACGCCTACGGCAATGTTTATAAAACGTTGTTGTAGAGGTCATATTCTACGACAACACCTTGATTTGCAACACACGTCCAAACGTTACTAAAGGTCTACAGCAACATTTTTTGAACGTTGCCGTAGGCTGTTTTTGTTGTAGTGTAAAGTGGATATTAGAGTTCGGATATCGTTCTCACGAGAACTATTATTTAACAATTTGTTAAATTATTTCAATTCGATTGAAAACAAATAAAAAATGTTTATTTTATTTTTGTAATTTTCTAATTAAATATATTAAAACAAATAAAAGTAATTTATTTAATATGATGGTTTAGGTGTTAGGATTCATGATTTCATCATAGCTATCCCATTAATCTCAATCATCAAGTTTTATACAATTGATTATATTTACTCGATTGAATTCTTTTATTGTATTCAATTTACCTTTCTCGAATTTTCATTGAGTCTATTTAAAATTATCAATTTCATATCTCTATATAAATTTGGATATACCTTAGTTAATCGCATTTAATTTCTAAGAATCCATGTGGTTGCATTAACTAGCATAAGTATATCTATATTTTAGACTAATTTTCGATTTTACCACGTGTTCTAAACAAAAAATCCGTATCTCTACGTAATTTTCGATTTTACTACGTGATCTAAACAAATAATCCGTATCTCTACGTAATTATTGCTTACAAAATCAATGAATTAGAGGCAATTAATTCAAGCATTGAGATTGAAAATCAAAACAATTCACAAAATCAATTGGATATTTAAAACTTTTTAATTAAAAATAAGGTTCAAAGTTAGGTTATAATAATTCATCCTAACTAAGTACTTACTCACTCATCATGAAAGAATAAACATACAAAAAGAAATTAAAGTACATTATCGAGTTTTAAGGAAAAATGGAAAAAAATGAAGATCTTGCACCAAGATTCCGTCTTCTTGTAAAATCTTAAAAACCTATTTCCTTGATTGATCTATTGACTCTTCCCTCCTTTTGGTTTGAATAATATATAGGGAAATTATAAAAAATCAGGTGTTTAAAGATTAGAGTGCAAAAATCAGGTGAGAAGAAATTTTAATCAAAATTCAGGTATTGATTTAAAAATTAAATATTATTCCCACTCTACCCAATCCCAAACCCTAAATCATTTTTCATCTCTCTCTTTCTCTCTCTACCCGCCTTTCCCGTCGCCTCTCTCTCTCTCGTTTCTCCCTCACAGCATTGATCTCAACGGCGACTCACGGCGTCGCTCGCCTCTTCGCTGTGAGCGGCGACTCAACGGCGTGAGCATCGGGCTCAACGGTTGCTGCGAAATCATCACAGCGTCGCTCGCCTCTTCGCTGTGAGC